GCGCTGAGAGGAGGGTCGACTACATAGAAGGGTGATCCTTCGCCAGAGTGACCTTTGGTGCGGGCTCATCGAGGTCCCCCCGATCGCTGAGCGCGATGCGATAGCAGCGGTCTGCGCGCTTTGGTTTGGCCCCTTCGCGCCCCCGAAAAGCCGCGCACCAAAGGTCACTCTTACCTGGGGTCACTCGTGCATCTAGCCGAGAAGGGGCGAGGAGGTTCCCTGAGGTCCTGGCATCTCAATTGTTTCGAGCCCGGCGCCTTCGCACGGCTTCGGGCCCCGGGACCATCGCATATCGATCCGGCTCGAAAAATGGCGCGGAAAGACAGGGTCCAGGCTCTGGTCGTGATTTCGCACAATGTTTCAATTTTTTCTCGCCGTCGGATCTCACAGTTGGAGTGGCGAGGTTCGAGGTTTCGTTGGCGTCGCTCGGACGTGTGCACTTTTTCTCGTCGGAGACCATCGAGCAATCGAGGAGCATCCCAGATCATCTTGCGAGAAATAAGTACATGATGCTGGAGAAAAGCCCAATCATAATCTTTGTAGAGCTATAGGGCTATGGGACTATAGCGCTACAGGACTAAAGGCTGTGGGTCTACCGGGCTATAGGGCTATAGGGCTATAGGCATACACGTATATATATAGAGAGGGAGCTATAGGGCTAGAAGGCTATAGGGCTATAAAGGGCTACGGGGCTATAGGGCGATTGGGCTATAGGGCGATTGGGCTAAAGGGCTATAGGGCTATAGGGCTATAAGGCTATATGTAGATTAGGGCTATTAGGGCTATAGGGTTATAGGGATATGAAGCTACAGGGCAATTGGGCCATAGGGCTAGAGGGCTGTAGGACTATAGGGCGATAGAGCACCTGGGCACCCGGGCACCCCTGGGCACCCGCGGGCACCTCCGGGCACCCCTGGGCACCTTTGGGCACCCCGGGGCACCCAGGCACCCTCGGGCACCCGGGCTCCTGGGCACCTGGGCAACTGGGCCGTTCACCGAAATCGGCGACGCACCTCACCTAACCGTATGAATCCGCTGGGACCCCTACAGAGGCAAGCTGTGACTGGGGAATCAAAGCACGCACGATACCGGAAAATGCATGAGGAGTGGACGTCCGAGCGATGGCAGGTTTTCGGGCGTTTCCCCAGGTTCCCGGAGGCTTCCAGCCTGCAGGGGTTTGGGCGTT